TATTTTATATAAAAAAAATCTCCCATTTTTTCATTTAAAGTTGCACCCACTTAGCCAAGTAACACTGGTTTTCCATCAGTTGCAAAAATTGTTTCCTGTCTGTTGCAAGATTTAATCCAAAACTTCAACTTTGATGAACATGGTGAACATACTTTTGGCATTTTAAATAAACAGAAATATGATCTCTTCCAAAGAATGTAGGCAACTGAAAATGAAACTTAGTATGGTGTTTACATGGGAAAAAAGGGGGAAATGGATATCCGGAAATTAATTAAATCTATAAAGAGAATTATTGAAGAGAATAAGTGGAGTTATTAGAGAGAAATAAGAATTATAGTGGAAGATATGTAATAAGTCTACAAATGCGGTAGATGTAATCTTGAATTTCATCTTCAATATTGTATTTTAAGTTGTTTATATAAATATTCATTTACACAAATATAAGTTTAATTTATTTTTTTAAATTAATCATAAAATGCAGTTATATATATTTATTCTCAAATTTGCAATTATCCTCAAATAACTCAAATAAAATTTGACTAATTACATCACAATGGAGTAATTCCTACAGATATCTGATCAACGGTTAAAAAAATCATGCAAACAAAATATGCAATTGCAAAAATATCCGGGTATGGATCATCACAAGTAAGATTTAGTCCCGAAACTGCATTATTTGCGACTTTGAACTAACCTTATATAACTTTTAATATCATTTATATAATATATTATGATTTATAACAACTAGATATAAATTGGTCAATTATAACCAATCAAACATTTATAATCGTCCAATATAAATCGGTTCAAAAGCTTTGAGAAAACCAGTATTTTTATTACAAATGTTGCTAATCCTATAGGAATAAAATATTTTTTTTCTGCAAAAAAATGCAAAAGTCTCTGAATTGATTTTTCCTTAATTTTAAAAGGTAAATTAATTGAATAAATTTGGACTTTCTAGAACAATAGAAGTATTTTCTCACATTTTTCTTATAATTGTTTCCTAATTTCCAGAGAATATTTCGTTGAACAGTTCAGGAACAGAACTAGGATTTTCAAGCAGAGGAAATTTAAATTTTGCCAATCCTTTATTCAACTCCTGTCGTTCCCAATAAAAGTCGTAATAATAAAAGGCTTACCAAACCCGAAGGTTCGATTCCAACACCACCAATAGCTTATTGCACACCTCCCTCCACCTTTCGCCGTCCAAACCCAGTCTCTTCAGATTTGATCTCTTCTTATATGCAATCTTCCTGCCTTCTCTTCGGTCTACCCCTCGGATGTTCACCATTCAGTACAGCAAATAATAACCTTTTAGGAATTCTTTCGTCACTAAGCCCAATAATTTTACAAGTCCATTTGATTCGCCTCGATGTAATCACCTCAGTTATATTAACCGGATAAATTTCACGCAATTTGCCGTTGTGTAACCATCTGAACTCTCCGGTTAACTCATGCTTCTTCGGTCTGAATATTCTACGCAATACTTTATTTTCAAAAACCTTAAGACGTTACTCATCCCTAATGTAAGCTGCCTCGTTTTGCATTAATAGAAAACTTTAGGTAAGATGATGGTTTTATAGATTCTAGTTTTTAAATTCCGTGACCAGAGACGGGAGCTAAGTAATTTTGTCACAAAAAATAACATGCATTTCCCGCCTTCAACCCAACCTTAATCTCCTCTTCAATTTCGTTTTTTCTAGTTATCTTAGACTCTAGATACCCAAACTTCTCTACGGGTTCAAACATATTATCTTCTATATCGATATCACTGGCATTATCGCCATTTTTGCAGCTAATCATATGTTATGTATTTTCCGTGTTTATTTGGATCCCTAGTTCTCTACAGGCTTTCATGACCGTTCTCGTATTTAATTTTATAGTTTCTGTATCTTTGCATAACAGGACCAGATCGTCCGCATAGCCAAGCACGGGTGTTTTCCCACCCTTTTTTGGTACACATTACCTCTCCATTGCTATGCTCTGTTGCCAAATTCAACAGTACAGGAGAAAGGACATCGTCTTGTTTTACACCTGAACGAACCTCAAACTTTTCCGATAAATTATCATCGATTTTAATTTTATTGAGTGCTTCCGTCAAGCACATCTTGACTAGATTTACTAATTTTTTGGGAATCATCTGCTCGATTAGAATATTATATTGTTTCTGGCGGCAATAGAATCGTAAGCTTTTTTGAAATTTGTTGAACAACCGTTGTACTCAATTTTTTTTCTCTAATAATTGCCGTAAAGAAAATATTTGACCAATAGCGGTTCGAAAGTATTCGAAATTGTCTTTACTAGGATTAATTTATTGTTCGTCTAATTACATTTAAAAGGGCTTAAAGAATCACTTAATCGTCATCTTATATAGGTACTCAGTTTCTTTATCTCTTCTAATTATAGTAATTATAGTAATATATACTTACAAAAAATAATCTTAGGGGCTAAAGCCTCCCCAAAAATAAATCATACATAAATAAATATAAAAATAATCATTTATGAACCATATCTAGGTTAATATCTAGATGAAAAAAACATGTCCAGTGAAGCAAGCGATTCATTACCAATCGTCACCATAAGTATTATTTTGAATGTGATTTTAATTTATCAAACTGAAACTAGTTTTAATATTTCCCCACAGAGCTTTTCTACAATTTTCTACCTTTAATTCACAATTAGCTGTCAATTAGAGATTAAAGCATTAAAAAGTGTTTGTCGTATTTCAGTCCTTGGATGAATTGGGCACAACGAATACTTAACTTGATGTATAAGAACAAAAAAAAGTTTGGGGCAGAGACTCACCTTCCATGTCTGGTGTCTATTAAAGGATAAAAAAGAAAGGCCTTGATTTGCGTCATATACGCAGTCACTACGACCACTGAGCTAGTCTTGCGGCCGACTTTCTAGCGACGGCAGTGCCTTTTGTCAAAAGTGGCAGCTCTCATCTTCTCATCTTCATGTTGGTTCACATAAGATAAATGACAGTGTAATTGAATGATTACTTATTTACATTTTTATTGGTTATTTATTTAAATTACTATTGTTATCTGAGATCACAGAAGTAGAAATGAGAAAATATTTTTGCGAATGTTTACATGGCAATTGTATTTGGCATAATTATATCTAAAATAATTATTTATTTCTATTTCCATTTTTTTTATATTATAAAAAGTTAAGCATTATTTTTAGTCGATACTTTTTATTTATCATTAGTTATTTCTTGTTTGTAATGTTGATAAAGAAGAAGAATAAAATAGAATAACATAAATTAAATACTTTATAAACTATGCATATTTTAATTCTATAAAGTCTATGTTTAGGATTTTACATATTTATAAATTTAATTTTAATTATACATGAAATATTTTAATTGTTTAAACAAATAAAACTGTATTTTTAAAATATATTGATTTAAGTGATAAAAAATAAATATCATATTCGACCTATATTTTAATTTTCTTACACGAGTTTTGTTGTCCGTTAATTACTACCTGTAAAGTAATTACTGACGTCGAAAATTGCATCATTAATTTGCTTACAACTAGGATTAATCTAATAACAAAGCAATTAAACTAGTTCTTAATTACGTGATATTTGTATCCTTGAATTGATGTCTTGAATTTTAGTGAACCAATTTAAGAAAAACATTTACTGGTTCTCTTTATTTTTTTTCTATATTTTTTTCTGATAGATCCCTTTGTACCTTCAGTAAGACAACTTAACAGCAAACAGAAACATGATAGTGCCTTGCTTATTTTGAACAGTGATAATTATTTTAGTATATATACTATTTGTTAATTGATAATATTTTAATTATATAAAATGAATGTAGTAATGATGTTAATACAAATTTTAATAAAAAACATAAGTTATTAAAATCAGTTTTGTGGATCATGCTTTGTGATAATGATAATTATCAAAAATATAAAATACCTGGAAATAAATTGCATAGTCTAATACCATTCATTATTTTTCTCAATATTTAAATAAATATAGTTACCTAGTTTAATTTACAAGGATAGATATTTATATTCTCTTCAAAGCTAAAAATAGTTGTGTTTACATCAGTTTGAAAATCAATCTTCACTAATAAACCAATTCTATAAGGAATAAATTAAGGGGTTTAACTTTTCAATGTCACTTTCATTCTTTACTTGGTAGAAGCTATAAACATAATGTTCTTTTATCAGTGACTATGGACAGTTTGTTATCTAAAATCAGTCAGGTAAGTTAATATCTTTCTTTATCTGAATTACTGTTGTTCAACTAAAGATTGGAGGAAAAGGAGTTAGTATATAATGGGTGTAATATTTCAATTTTGCATTACAAATTCCACTATAAGATTACAATGGTTCTTAATGGGTAAACACTGAGTTAAGAAACTGTTTTATTGCATTATTTCAATTATTATTGACCTTTTTTTTAAAAATAAATTTCTGTTTTTCACACCTGCTTATAATTTACTTATACTTTTTATGATCGAGTCAGTGTTTTTACCATCCAAATTTCTTTATCTTTGCTAACCAAATAATTGCTCTTCTAAACAGTTACTAATATGTAAGATAAAATTATTTTTATGGAGATAGCTGAGGGCTAATTTTTAAAGTAGATTTATTTACTTCACTTATTTATTTTTCTTGTTGTCAGTGTAATTAAAAAAAAATTACATGTTTTTTGAAATTGTACTTACTTATACATAATTTAATAAACACTTTTTGTAGTTCATGTAATATTATTATTATTTTTTCTTTGGTTTTATTTACAGATGAACGCCAAACAAAATGTAAAGTGTTCTCTAATATGAGTAAAATATCATGAGACTGTCAATCAAAACTTTGATTTGAACGATATAGGTTAGTTTCGGTTAAAATCTTTTAAGCATTGAACAAAATGATGAAGAGTGAGTAATATTAGGTGCTGATAATACCTGGAGTAACAGTATTTATCATTCAACAGTAATTGATATTATTTCCTAACCTTCTTTCTAAAGCCATAAAATGGATCCAGTAACATTAGAAAGTGCTTTAGAGAAAAAATGCAAAAACCATCTCTGGCTCGTATGGTTGTTCTTTCTAACAAGTACTCCAGGAATTTTCAATTCGATGCATATAACGTCTTATGTTTTTCTTGGAGGGGACCCTTCATTTTCTTGCGATATTCCAGAGCTAGTTGAATCCAACTGGACAATGGAACAAATCATTGAAATTAGTAGCCCAGGGTGAGATAAATGCATTATTATGAGAAACCTTAAAATTTCTTTCCTTGATTTAAATATTATTAACTGAATAACATATGATTAATAGAATGAACAAACAAAGCTGTGTGAAATATGACTGGAATTACACTTTATTAAGTGAAATGGGCTTTGATCAAGCTCGCCATTATTGCAACCATACAGAAAAACCGGAAGTCATAAAATGTTATGGCTACATTTTTGATGAAGAAACTAAAGGTCAAACAATAGTCAGTCAGGTATGTATTAATTTTATGATATTATTTTTAGAACTGTATTTTCTAGTAATAGTGTGTGTTTCACATTGACAGTGGGACTTGGTTTGTGATAATTTGCCTTTGAGGTCAACTGCTCAAGTTGGTGTTGCTATTGGAAAATTCTTTGGAGCATTTATCTTTGGTCTTTTTGCTGACAGGTTTGGATTGACAAAATATGCATTTCTTCTTTGGAAGGCTTTAGTGTTTCAAAAAATTAATTCCAAAACATTTTTTACTAATATGGGTGTGTGTATGTATACTATTTTTTTTTATTTCTTCCTTCCAAAGTAAATCTAGGCTAGAGTTTAAGTTATAAAGTATTGGGAATAAAACATATTTAATAGTATTTAATAGAACAATAATATGCCAGTTAGTCAAAATATCTCTTTTTATTTAATAGTTTAGATAGTATTTAATAATATAACAGTCAGTAATCTTTCTATTTATTAAATTGTTTTTATCTTAATCTGATTAATAAAACAAAATTTAGTTATTTAACCCTCTACTTTTGACAACTATCATTTTTACTGTAAAGCTTGATAATGGTCATGAAAAATGTGTGATTAGAATAAATGGTGACAGATGTGAGAAATTTTATGCTGTGAAGTACTCTGGCAAGGAGATGCATAAGTCTGTTTGTTGTTTAACTTAGCACTTCAGAAGGCCCTAAGGAGATGCTGGTTTATGTGAATGACAACGAAACATATTTATTAAGCTTACCCTATTGCTGGCCGATGCTGATGAATAGACATTGTGGGACATTCGCTGCAGATTGTGACTAATGCTTTCTGGCATTGGCTGGTCCTTCCAGCAGATTTGGACTATGGAGTACGTATATGGTAATAGATGAAATTCACATGAGGCAGGGTGACCGAGCAGACTAACATGTTGTGTAAAAAACACCTTGCCTTGGCAATCTCATAATAAGCCAAAGATTACAAGTTCAAATTCCGGTGCTGGTGGGACTTCTAACTCGACATAATTCTCCTGCTCTGGAAAAAAACCCTATAACCTAAAAGGTGAGGAAGAGCAGAAAAAAATAACATGAAATTTACTAGCCAGATGAGACAGTTACTGTTGCGCTTCATAAATTTGAAAAGGCTTTAAAGTTTACTTATCTTGGATCTTTGTTCACTCAGGATAATAACTGCAATACTGAGAAATGGAGACAGATAACATCAGCCAAAAAACACTACTTTGAGCTGAGCTAACAGCTAAGCAGCTAGATATTTTCCAGGCAGACCAAGCTTCATATCTAAATTGGCGGGCTGCATCCAAGAAATTTTGGAATCATACTTCCAAGGCCAGTGAAAAGAAAATCTATATTTTTGAAAAAAAAATTCTCTGCTGTTTTTGGAGGATTGAAAGTTGGAGAAGAATGGAAGTGACGTACAAACTAGGAACTGTACTATCCTTTTGGGAAGCTATTGCTGTAAAGTTGAGGTGCTTAAGATATGCAGCGATTATTGCCAGGAAGGAAGATGAAGAAATGGCTAAAGTATTGCTGACACAACCAACCCACAGAAAAAGGAGAAGAGGTAGACCAAAGCTGACGTGGTCTGATGGTGAGACAAGAGATACTTGGAATATCCTGAGATTTAGGTACTGTATGGCTATGGCACAAGGCCATGATGATTGAAGGAAATGGTTAGGAGAGGGCAAGACCTGTTACTGGGATCTATCACCATGAAATGAGATGAATTATTCTTTATCATTTATTCAATGTCCTGGATCAATTTTAATTTTTCATATTTATTTTGTCATGGGTGGATCTCAAATCATCTACATCAGAAGATGCAGATAGTAGTGTTTCATATTGACACATTGTCAGAAAAATTTTGTTGAGTGTTATGATCAATAAAGAAAAACACACAACAAGTAAACTTATTTCCTTGTGTTCTGACGTTTTGGTCTTCAGGCGATTGACAATAGCAAAAATCTGACTAGAGCCAACCCAAACTTTATTTTGCATAAAACTCAGAAATATGGAAAAATTAAAACTCAGAAATAAAGAAAAAATTGCTATGTTAATCCTTTAAAATGATAGGAATAGAAATGAATATTTTTTTTTTTTTTTTACATGAAACTCAAAAATATGGAAAGTAAAAACTTAAGAATTAACTTAATATTATAAAATGTTAAATGAAAATTCTATGGATAATCACAGATAACAAAAATCAGAGTCAGGGTTAAGCAAGCATTACATGTAATGCATTTATTGAATGGAATATCTGCTATTTGTAAGCACTCATCACTTCTCAAAGAATCACCAATGTTAAAATTAGGACATATTTGTAAAATTGTAAAACAAAAAAGATGAAAGACTCAATTAAAAGTGAATTAATAACCTACTTAATTTTTCTGAATTGAAACATTTTCTGAAATACCATATTACTGCTATTAAATATAAGATTCAGGCAAATAATAAATGATTTTCACTTCTAAATGTGTGATGTACTGCTTTTGGTTTTCAGTCTGCATTTGTTATTTATATTACTTATTCCACAGAATGTAACATTTATTACCCAGTTAAAATACTCCTTTAGGCTTATATTTAATTATATAATGTGGTAGTAATATTATATTTTTTAATTTGACTAAGTCTTTAGTAGTTTAGTAATTAATTTTGACTAGAGAGATCGTCTTCTATCTTCAAGATCATCTAAATATAACTTATTTTTGTAATTATTATTAATTTTTATTTAATAATAATTTGGTAACCTTATATTTAAATGTGATTCATTCATTTAGATTCGGAAGAAAGAAGATATTTTGCTTTTCATGCTTTCTGTATATGGTAGCTGGACCGGCTGGAGCCTTAGTTAATGATTATTTATTATTTATTATTTTGAGGATACTAGTCGGGGTTGCTGGCTCTGGGGTATACGAAGCTGGTTATACTATATGTGAGTAATATGTCTCCATAATAACCATTATTATTATATAGTTAAAAATCCTACTCTAGTTTAAAAAACAATTTGTTGAAATGCATCACAAAACTTTTACTCACCATCTTATTTTCTATAGAATTTATTTATTTTTTTATTTAATAAGCCTGAATAATATTACTTTAATTATAAACACAAACTTACAGCAATTAATATGAACCATGACAATCCTGTGCACTATATATTTTTGGATTATCAAAAGTTGTAAAAAAATTCTCTGGATCTATCATTAAATTTTCATGGAAACATTTATTTCCCAATCAAAATAAAATAGGAATTATTAAATGCTCCAATTTAAACGTTCAATATTTACAACCACATATGTTAGATATCCATTTTTCTAAAGTTTGTAACTTTACAACTGTATCTTATACGAATAAGACTACAGTACTACTCTTATTTTGGAAAATTATTTTCCAACCTGGTAAAATATTTCTTCCATTTTCTCCTTTAGTTAATTATTAGATTCTTTTATAATTAGTATTTATCACTTTTGTTACTACTAACAATTTTTTTTATTTATTTATTCTTGGTGCAACGGTCCTGTAAGAACCTGGCCTCTCCGAGCGACCATTCTCCATCTTTAAATTCCCATCGTTTTCAGACTGTCCTCCACCTGATCCAGCCATCTGAAGTGTAGTTTCTCCTTCCACGTTTTCCAGGAGGCCGATCCTCTAGCAAGCGTTTAAGAGTCGTGTCTCGGGGCAAACGCGCCACATGGTCCAACCGTATGATCTGGTTTTCCCCCACAATTGAGATAAAATCCGGTCTCGCATACATTTCATACAGTTCTTTATTAGTGTGAATTCTCCATTGTCCCTATTCGTACAACAGGCCATAGATTCTGCGGAGAACCCTTCTCTCCCATGCGAGTAGCCTTTAGAGATCACCCTAGTCTCAGAGCCATAGGTGACGACGGGTGCATTTTCTCATACACTGTGATTTTTGTTCTGTAAGAAATAGATCTGTAATTTAATATTTTTTGCATTGCAAAACAACACCTATTCTCAGGCAGTCATCCTTGCTTTTACTAACAATTATAGACCATTAATTCTTTCTAATAAACAAAATGAAATGTACATTATGGAAAGAAATTTTGAAAATTTGGCTAATCCTAACATATTATTTCAATAAGGATAAGATCTAAAGACCATTTATTTTATATTGATGTACAAAGTTTAGTCAAAATTGTTAGAGCCTTTTTGATGAAAAACTTTATAAATGTGTAAGTTGATGATATAAAGAGTCATTAAAAATAAAAGTGAAATCCCAAGCGTATTCCTAATTTTAATACATAATTTCATTTTTTGTACTATCCTGTTCACGATCACTATACTTTCCCCTGCTACATATTTTGTATATGGGTATGTAGAAGTATATGTATGATATAGAAGTAGTGAATAATTATTTTTATTTTATTTTTATGAAAATTTTATATGAAAATGTGTTTGGTTAGATGGGGATTTCTAATTTCCTTTGCATACAACAGTCTTGTACATACTGTTGTATGCAATACCGCAGTATACTGCTTAATTCTTTACCTATACTCTAAGATTTAACCGTTAATTGGCCAGGCACTCAAAAAACGACTTGAAATAAAAATTTTCCTTAAACTTTCTTTTTTGTGTTCTAAATAATTAGAATATGTATGGTTTAACTTCATTTTTTTTTTTCTTTATAAAAATACTGCATGGTGTCTTTAAGCATACTTTGGCCAATTGCCGTCAAACAATGGTGGTGTCTTTAAGTTCACTTTGGGCCAATCACAGTAAATCAATGGTGGTGTTTTTAAGTTCACTTTGGCTAATAAACTGACATCATAGTTTTTAAAAATGTAATTAAATAATTTATTAGGCTATAAAAGAAACATGTTGTAAATAAAAAATAAGTATACTGTGAACAAAATATAATAGAATGCAAAACATAAATCAATGAAAAACGTTACGCCTTCCATTGTCCATGAAATTCAAGAAAATAGGACCTCTCACTGGTGTTACACATTCTCACGTTATATTTTTCTCATGAGCAACCATTTGATTCTGGCAACAATCTGCACTTTCCTTTTGTAGTTAATACTTGCCAGTGGTGCATCTTATCAAGTCTTGCTGCATCGGGTGTGACTGCTGCAGCTGTTATTTTTATCAATACTGCAATTGGTGGTGTTCTGGCTCCACTAGCTCTTTTAGCTCGCCGGTATAGGAGAATATCCTCCACAATTTGTATTAAACATAGTTTTAAAGTCAAATTTATTTTAGAGGTGTTTCTTTTAACAACAGATACACGTTGGGAAAAAAGGATAGAGTAATATGAAATAAATATTAATATTTTGCTCACCTAAATTATGGTCTTGCAATTTTCTTTTTTTAGGGTCTTTTACCATTAGAAGTATTACACTCTTTCCCATTAGGGGGTTCAAATTTTGGGATTGAAGTTTCTTCACATACTTCAGTGGAAATGGGATCTGCTACTTCTTCTTCACACATTATCAACAATCCATTGCAGTGGATATTATTTAAATTTTCATCTTCAATATTGAAATCTTCCAATATTTTATTACTTTCATTTTTCAGCTTTGCTTTAGCCATTTTGGGGCATTTGTCTACATTTTCTTCTCCATTGTCGCTCTCTTCTTCATCAGAAGTGATGTTAAATTTTTTTGGCTGAGACAAAATCTTTTTACCTCAACTTTTATACATATTTGTGAATACAAATGGTAAAAAAAAATAAATAATTTAAAATCATGTACCTTAGGCACATTTGTTGCTATTAGGCGAGGATGAAATTAAGTACACCATCATTAAAATTCATGGTAAAATTTTATTCCTCTCCAGAATAGGAAATGAAACACATAAGAACTTAAATACAATGTTTTAAAACTAATTCACTCATTTTAGCTCATATTTAAATCGAATAACATATATTTTTGTACATTGGAAACTTTTCGGGTGACTAATGTGAAACAGTGTGGTAAACTATGATGATATGCTTCAGTATATTGTTAATAGTTCATTTCCGATAACAATAAATCGACTTTTGTCACATGTACTAATGTTGGGAGGCTACAGGGGTATGAACTGTGGCTCAAAAAGATATGAATGGAATCAGTTGCTCCCTTGGACAAGTAAAATGTGGAAGGTGTCTTTAAAGACACCTTAGCCTATGAAGGGTTAAAAGTTCTTAATTCAAACTGGTTGGCATTACTTTAATTTGATATTTTCCAAACAAGCTTTGGTTTTGGCCATTTGTTAAGATTATTAGCTGAGTGTTAATATAAGATATAATATTTAAAAAAAAAAATTAATTCAGTCGAAATTACAATAAAAATTGCCTATATTGTGAGAATTCTTTAATAAAGTGACATATAATTGACTGAACTTTTTATTAAAAATTAAGAAAAAATAAATAAAAAGCAAATGTATTGTTGTTCATGAATTATTGCTATTATTTAATTTACTTACTGGTGTTGAAGTTTAACAGTTTCATGTAGTATTCTCATAAACTATTGTTCAACACTATATTATAGAACCATTTTTATGATAATATTATATTATATATAATATTAAGTTAAAAATTATTTTATGACAACATACTAAGAAAATTAAGTTAGTAACAACCATGAGTTTTAACCCAGGATTGGTTGCAGTGCATTTTGATCTGATAATATTCCTGATTTATTTCATGTTTAAGTAATAAATACAAATGTACCTATATTTGAAGTGACAAAAAACGAACTTATGTATCACTTTTAACTTACCCATTGCAAACAATGTATTTATTTTAGTCATAGATTTGTGTTTATCACATTTCGTTTCTCAAAACAGTTTTGATAAATTTATAAAATTAATTAATTAAAAAAATGTGATTTTTCATATTCATTACTTATACATGGTAATTTTTTTTTAAATTTTAATAATTGTGTTCTTGTTAATATTTCTAAATAATTATTTTTTTTATTTTTTGTTGCTGTCATCAATTAGAGTCCTGAAGAATCAATATTTATTGCCTGTTTCATAATCAGATGAGTCATCTAATTGTTAGGTTTCTTTATTTGGCAAATTCATTAAGAATATGCAAATCTCTTTTGAAAGTCTGGGTTGTAAAACATTTTCATTTATTTTTTAAAGCGGATTTCACGAATAAAAATACATATTTCAGTTGTTTTAGTCCTCAAAAAAAAAAAAAATTAGTGAAAATTACATAACGTAAATGCTGCTAGTTTATAAAATTAGAAGAATTAGAAAACATAGATAGAATATTCAAATTTCAACAGTACTAAGTAAATACCTATATAAATATTTCAGGGTTAATGGAACTAGATAAAAAAACAATAGAAACATTGTTGTCACGTTAGTATTAGGTAAAATCTATTTTAACTGTTAGAAAGCTCCCTGCATAGACTGTTAGAATTGTATGTTTCATATCTATACCATAGAAATGACATTAACAATCATTCAGTCAAGAAATAGATGTAGATGAGATGAAATTAACTCTAAAATGTCATCCACAATATTTACAACATAGTTTGAAGTAATTAAAACTTGACTTCCTTACCAATCCAAAGGTCCAATGAGAGGAAGGGGTGGCAGCGATTACTTTATTTTTATGTTTTACCTTCTAATTTTTTCAAGACCAAACATTACATATATTATGTAATAATTATATAATATCTTTAAAAGAAGGCAGTTCGCTTATGACCTTTGGCTCTGGAGACAACGCCTAGAGGAAAGACAATTAAGAAACATTATTTCAGTTGGAAGTTATAGCAATTTATCATTGTACTTCTATAATGCTACAAAATATTTACTTCCATACAAGATGGGCTGAAAGGGAATAAGACCACCATTTACCTTAACAATCAGGCAGCTACAAGAGCACTCAGCAATTACTCTATGAGATAAAAGGTTGTCGAAAATTGTAATGCAGTAATAAGATGAAATGGTAAGGTATAAAAAATGTTATGAAATTCTAAATAACCTTGTTCTGCATAATAAGGGATCTATTAAAAGAATATCAGAACATTCCATTATTGTAGCCAACAGTAAGGCTGATTAACTAGCTTGGAAAAACTCTGATAATAATCCTCTTACACCTGAACCAGAGTTTGGCTTAAGCTTCATCATTATATCACCTGAGCTAGGGCAAAAAATGTACCAGGGAAACATACTCATATGTTGAGAAAACTAAACAATAATTTATAGAAAACTGCTGTACTACAGGTCTACTACTTAAATTAAACTTCCAAAATATTAAAATTAAATTTAACATAAAATAATTAATCAAAATGTTTTGTCATAAATTTTGAATTTAAAACATCTTTTCTTGGTTAAAATAATAAATTAGAATTCATTCATAGAACAAAAAAAAAAAAGTTGACCATACCTAATAACCAGTATGAATAGTGTATTAAAAAATATGTACTTTAATAACGAATACATTCATATAAATATTAATTTGTTTGTAAAATGTAATTTTTGTATTCTGATCAAAATTGTTTTTTATCACAATTTAATCATTATTGTTTATGTAAAAACGTATCATTATTTTTAATCGAATCAATAAACATCAAAGATCTATTTAATTTATAAATTAGGCATAATTTTAAAATTATATATCAAATATAATAATTATTACATGATTTTGTGGAAAAAGTAATTATCGATTTCAAATCTTGATAATAAATTATATATAATAATTATTAATTAAATGTTACAGCACTGACAAAACAAGTACCTATTTACTTATAAGAATAATTTATAGTTTCATTATAATAAACATTTAATTTTCTGTAATATCTGTAACGTCTATATATTCGTCTCATATTGTGCGAACCATTCATATCACACTTGCGGAACCATTCAAGGTTTTGCTATGAATGTTGCTGTGAACATTCGCCCAAATTTTTAGGCCATCGTGTGACACCGCCTTTAGAAAAATGACAGTATCTACATAGGTCTCTGCAAACGGAATTATCATATATTTAAACTCAGGTTAACGAAGTCACCTATGTGTAGTTTATTTCCCCGTGGGGATGAAACTGCCTATCATATGACCTTTTGGTACGACAGGTTTGCTGAACTAAGGTTATTTGGAGTAGATAAATTGTTAGATCCGAATTATAGTGCGCAATAAGACCATGCCATTAAAAAAAAACTTTAAATATTTTTTTGTTGCATACATTGTATAGGAAAAGGTTTGGTTTCAAACGTGAATTTAATATTTGACGAAAGCTTAGAAAAATGTATGAATACAGTTCTTAGTTTCTCTCCAATCCAGGATAAATGTATCTGTCATATGAGACGTTTCAGTTTAGTAAAAATAACAAAAAAATCCAATTCTTTCCATGAATCTAGTACTAAGAATATGTCTCAGGTCCAAAACCAGTGGAAGGGATGGTAAAGAAGCACTTCTGTCCCTTCGTTTCTCATAGAAAGTAGGACTCCATGTAAGTTTTATGGTGATTTGTTCATATCAATTACAGTTTGTTTTTCTTACGCTTAAAAAGTTTAATATGTATAGTATTAAAAAATATCTGCATGGCGTTGCATGATGTATGATATACTTAAAGAAGTTATCACTCAATCTCTGTTTATTTAACTATTTTTATTTAAACCAGACCTGGCCAACCCATATGAGTTCATGGGCTACTTTTATGATCTGTAAATTCTATAGACTGCACTTTAGATAAATGGATTGTTGATATATATATATATATCAAAGTAATAATATATATATATATATATATATATATATATATATATATATATATATATATATATATATATATATATATATATATATATATATATGTATATAAATATATATATACATGTATATAAATATAAGTATAAGTATATATATATATAAATATATATATATATATATATACTGAAGTAAATATATATATATATATAATACAAGTAAATATAGGGATAACTTTATTGTCAGACTCTGATTCAATGTAATTAACTCTCGAGATATTCACTAATTCTTTCTTTCACGAATTTCTTCTGAGTTTTTTCATAATATTTGTTTGATGTATATGGATATTAAATGGACAAGGTACTCGTGCCTTATAACAATGATTTTTTTTTTCAAATATTATTTATGAAATATCATTAAGTAAATTATTAAATTGTGATTAATATATATCATTATTCTTCAGCAAGACTGCATTTTAAGGAGCTTTTAAAACTAATAAATTTTCTGTTTCCTATAAGAATGAAACTTGCAAATTTTCATTTGTTTAATACAATTTGTGTATAAAAAAAAAGAAACTAAAGTATAAAATTAAAATAAAGGCTATACAATGTAATGTGAATCTGAGCCAGGCCTGGATTAGATCAATAATTTACTTAACTTCTGTGATTTTTTTTATCTTTATTCTTTAATTTCTGATCAACGTTTAACTTTTCTAGCAACTAATTGCAATATCATATTATGTTCAGTTGTTAATTTTAATGCTGAAATATTTCAAAATAATTTTAAGGATAATTCAAGTATTAATTTTGTAGTGGTTTTATTTATCTAGTTAGTTATTTAGTTAACATTCCTGTGAGGTTTCTCAAACTGAAAACATTTTTTTTTTTTTAAATTAACTTGTTCTAAACAGAAAATTTAATTTTGCTTCTCACCTAAGACAGTAAATTTTTCTTAACAGTTAAATTTGAATAAATTTTATGTTTTACTATTTTTATTCAACATTTTTTTCTCCGTTCCATGAATTTTTTTAAAATAATATTTTCATGTAAGAGTTTCTAAATTTATCATTAAAAAGTTTGTGAAATGAACTTGCTTCTTCTATTATTTTATATCATATTTAATTTTTTGAGGTGCATATTTGCATATTTTAGATTCTGGATAAAAACAGTTCACAATATTGGTATTTATTTATCATTTAATAATATTTTAATTTCTTAACCCATAACCCAATACTAATTACTACCATCCCTGTTTTTATTACCATTAGCTCGTGTTTCTACTTAGTGCTATAGCTAATAATTGATAGATGATTATTTAATTCCCTTTTAATAAAAAGAATCTCTACCTTATCATCGCCAATCATTGGCCATGATACAGTGCTTCCTTACAAAGTATAGGATGTGTGAATGAATTTCCGTCCAGGGAATTTTTGTTTAGCTACCTGCATCTGGCAACACTGAAACAAACTTTATTCAAGAGCTAATCCTCTGTACTTCGGTTATCAGTATATTTTAAGTCCTCAAAGTGTATACAACATTGTTCATATCTGTTTAAACATGGAGTGTTTTGTAACCTCAAAACGGTTTTTGTGTAGAAATTTTATTATATTATTTTTTCTAAAAGAGAACTGCAGCGAAATGTTTAGAATTCTTGTATAAATTATAGAAATTATGTTTGATCAGGAAGAACATGCAGATAATTGTTTCAAGCTTTAAAAATAATGATTTTGGTTTTGGAGATGATGGCCATCCAGGCAACCAATAAAAGAGTTGTTTCAGCCCCGAAAATATCATAGGTGATTGCTATAGACTACAATTGATACATTTGAGTCAAGTCCTGAAACAAAAGCATCCACAAAATGAGCAGACATGCTTAGGTATTTTTACTGTAGGAAACGTTCGACCTCATGTTGCAAACCTGTTTAAACCTTGTTTGGAAATGCTGAAACGGTAATTTCTATTCCATATTTTATAAATAAAGTTTTAATTTTTATCGAAAAATGGTGGGAATTTATTCATACACCCTACACTGAACTGAAGACCCCTCATGAGTTATAATAGTGCAGGTTTAACAAAAAAAAACAAAAAAAATAATATGAATATATATATGAAAAATAAAATTAAATGAGGAAAACAAAATAGGATAGCAATAACATTAATCATTAAAATTTATCATAAACAAAAAAAGTGATAACAATAAAAGACTTATCAAATTGATTAAAAAAACTCTCATCTGAAAAAAATACACTTTTTCGTATCTTAAATATCCACTAAAATTGTACCAATAAAAAAGATAGGTTCATTAAAATTTTTATAGTATTAGTTCTTACTAGATATTATTAATTATTTGTTTTGCAGTGTCAGAGTTAACGGTGAAACATTACAGAGCATACTTAGGCTGCCTTTATAATGTGTCATACTCAGTAGGATTAATACTTCTTCCATTGGCTGCCTATTTCACCAATAATTGGCAGCAGTTACAGTTGGCTATTTCTGTTCCTACAATCTTCCTTTTAATACATTGTTGGTATGTATTCTTCATTCATTGTAGTCATAATGTAGACATAAAATAGATTAGAATAGAAAATAAACTTTATTCTGGGACAAGATCTCTTAAGAATAGAAATTATGAACAAAAAACAATAACCATATCTGGTCAAAAACTACAATAATCAAAATTGAAGAATATATACAATATCTTCATTTAAAATATATATAAAACAAAAAGTAAAACCATTTAAAAAAAACACCAAAATTATTGAAAGGAAAAGAAAAACAGAAATCAGTGGAAATAAAAAACAAAATGTAATAAGCACTATGAGTTGATTCTTAAAATTAAAACTCAAGCAATTTCAACAACCATTCACCTCAATCAAAATTTGATTCATAAAAGGATTTCATTATACAGCATCATTTTGGTATGTGAGAAGGTATTGGTAGAGTTGATATTTGAATGAGGACAAGGAAGAGGCATGGTGGATATCAGATGGCGAGGAATTGCAGAAGGCAGTGTATTGGGCAATCAAGGAATATTCAAATGTCTTTGTTCTATAGGAAGGTGTATAAAGGTCACGGAGTGGACCACGGGTTTGAACTGTAGGAAACTGTAGATGTAGGAAGGGTGCCAGGTGTCGGTCATTTGGAATAGGTAAGTCCCAAGGAAATATTGTCGCCGGAAAGAAGGGAACAGCCAGTTTAACTCATCGTAAATGTGGGACACATGAGACCTCCTCGAAGTACCAAATACGAATCTTAAGGAGTTCATAAGTCGCTTCAATTTATCCTTGAGCCCCATCAGGATGCCTCCGTACACCACACAGTTGTAGTCAAAGAGAGGGGGGGGGAGAATAAGAGAGGATACAAGGAACTTGCGGATAGATTTTGGGAGTAGGTGATGGGAGCGATGAAATAACCAAAGGGTACTATTGACTCTCAGGAGATGAGAGTGATATGGAATTTCCATGAGAGGTTTTTGTCAATGGTGAATTTCCTAGCTTTTTGACGGAGGAATTGAATATAATGGGATGATCATTGATGACTAAAGGAGGAAGGAAGGAGTTGGGTTTAATAAGAGATCTGGAACCTATAACAATGGCCTGAGTTTTCATCGTGTTTAGCTTTAAATTATTCAGACTTGTCCAGACACTGATCCTATCTAGATGTGCCTGAATATTGGGGAACGCGACTAATAGGTCAGAAGGATGAAAGGATAAATAGACTTGAAAGTCATCAGTGTATAAATGGGGTAAACAGTGGTAGATGGATTTATATAGGAGTTAAAAAGGAGAGGGGAATTGCTCGAACCCTGGGCCACTCCAGAGGATAGCGTAAGGAAGGAAGATAGATGTTGGTTCGGAATGCTAACTGCTTGAGTCCAGTCGGAAAGGAAAAACTGAAACCAAAGAATAGAGCTGTTGGAGATGGACAGAGATTTTAATTTATTGTAGAGTATAGAGTGATCTAAGGAGTCAAAAGTTTTGGAAAAGTTGAGAAGTATTAAAACAGTTAGCATTTTTTCATCCATTGTAATATGTAAGTCATTGGTAATTTTTAGTAGAGTGGACTGTGACTCCTCCAATTCCTCATGAATTCTGTCATTTCTGACATAGTCCCTCTTAGTTTTGCCAGCTATTCTTCAGAAATATCTCATTTCCACTGCTGTGATCCTGCCTACATGCTTATCGAGGTTTGTCCAGCGTTCAGATCCATACAGAAGCACTGAGAGTAACATCGCCATATATCGTGAGTTTGAGCTTTCTGCTTACATCCCGTTTGCCTATGATTATTTTGGCTATCTGATAATATATTCCATTGGCCTTCATCGCCCGATTTAGTACCTCCTGGTCTATTTTGCCATCTTCATTGATGATTGTCTCCAGATACGTGTATACATTTGTTTTCTATAGGGATTCGCCATTATTTAACATCATAGTCATCGGCATATAATATAGCTTGAGCCAACACTGGTGTCAAATTCTAATATTTCACAACAGCCTTTAGAATAGGAAATTTAGATACTAGATTTAAATGAATTGAAAAAAAAAAAAATGAATAATGAATTGATAAAACAAATTCTAGCAATTGCATTTGCATTAAAAACAAAACTTTTCCACAATTTTCAATTATCAATCAAATAATTGTAAATCAATTAATTTACATTTCTTAAAATATAAAAGAATATGAAAAATTTCTTATTTTCCTAATTTGTATGATATTAAATATTTCAAGGAAATATTACATGTTTTTCTCCGTATTCAGTCAATAGTCATGCTATATAAGATAATTTATATTGAAATTAAAAAAAAAAAAAAATGAAAATGCAGAAGGGTGATTTTTAATATTGTAAGTATTTTAACATGTTAAGAAGATATTAGAAAAGTTTTAGATAGGAAACCAGAGCAAGAAGTTCTAATTAGATTTTTCATTTCTATTAAGTGTAAATTTGTTTTAGAATAAATTTTATTTTTACTATTCAGAATTAATAATATTCCATGTTGACTTATTTTATCAAACTTATTTTGTTTAAGCTATTAAAATAACAAAAAACAAGCAAAAATTAAAGGCCTTAGTTTCGAAGTAGCCTAATGAATTTCCCAATAAAACTTTTTATGGATACAGTGATGTTTTTTTTTTTTTTTATAGTTATTGGAAAAGTTCAATTCAAGAAGGAATGTGAGTGATACAATATATTTCAAAAAGCATACAAAAGGAAAATAAATATAAGAAAAACAATGTGAAACAGATATTTATTTCTTCTTTAGAAATCATTTAGTCTACTCTTAATAAAGATTCATGCTATGCTTCTGTGACCTTTTTATACATTAAATAATAAATATTCAAAAGAAATTTTAGAAAAGGATATATGCAAACTATTCCTAGTATTCATATTTATTAATTCTATTTTCTATATTCAAATTATTTATCAAAAACTAAATAAAACATATGTACATATTTTAATTTATATTTATCATATAAATAAATCTGGTTGCTCAAATTAGTATGTAATTTTAATTGTTAATTTTAGGTTTCATATATTTCTTGTATTTTGAAAATATTGTGAATAATTTTTATATCAGGCTCTCATCGAAGAAGTACAGAGCGTCATGTTTTGGAGCACAACCACTAGCAGACCAGGATTTAATTTTGGGGGAGGAGGATGGGGCTTCAGCCCTAAAGATTTTTTTTTCCATATATATACCGATAATTAATTTAAAAAAAAAAGAAACCTGTATGAAATAATGTTTAAGTGGTTCTTGAAGTCCTATTAAATATAATTACACGAATAAGAATACTTTAAGAAAAGAATACTTTAAGAGATAGTTTTTAGTATTTTTTTTCTGTAAAATATGGTTACATTTTACCATCTTTTTTGGTGTATAGAGGCTTCAGCCGGAAAGCCCTTCCCCCTCCCCCCTCTCTCCCCCCCTAAGATCCACCCTTGAGCACTAATAATATTTTTTATTTTTTTATTTGTGACTGTTTAAAAATAATAAACCATTATGTAATAATTTGCATTGTTTTCTTTAAACTAGGTAATTGTTTTAACAAAACAAATATTTATTTTTTCCTTTTTGACTCAGGTATTTACCAGAATCACCAAGGTGGTTAATAACACGTGGTAAGCTAGAAAAGGCATCAATAATTATTGGTAGTAAGTGCTGCCTTGATTTTGAAGGAAATGCTCACCATCAAAAAATTGTTCAGGTCTTAATAGAATGAATATTTTGTTTTAATTGATCTTATTTTTTTAATATAAGTTTAAATATTTATCTTTTATTTTTGTAGGATCAAAATCATCCTTGGTATAAAAAAGTGATCATTTTCTTGAAAAATTACTTTATGCTTTTCTCAACATTTGAACTGACAAAAAGAATACTGATTTGCTACTTAGGATGGTTTGTTGGAAACTTATACTACTATGTTATTGGTAAGATATTAATCTATTTCATATAATATGCTAGTATATAATATGTGATTAGTAACCACCACCTTTTCACTCTGTTTTAGCACTTAATGGAGCTAACTTTACCGTCAATGAGTACCTATATGTTGGGCTCAATGGAATCTGTGAGGTTCCTGGCTATACTATTCTTCCTCTAGTCGTTCTTACATATTATGGCCGTAGGAGTGCTGGAATAGCACTATTTACAGTTTCTGGTATTGCTGTGCTGATTATAATGTTTGTACCTCAAGGTAATCATCAGAATGTGTTATCAAGATTTTATTTATAAAATATTAGTTGACACTATAGCAATTTATTAATTAGTACATTACTTATAAATTATTAATTGAGGCATAACTTTAATTTTTAAATAATGGAATGGGCTGATCCTCCTATACCTGTACAGCTACTACTAATATCCATGATGGGTCTTGGACTCAATACTTGATAAGAAAGTAGTGTTCATGAACAGTATAATCATTTCCAGGGTGCTGTAGGAGCCGAGTTTATCAAAGCATTGCTCTGGTTTAACATTCTTGAGTCCGGCTTTCTCTACATGATTCTGATGGATGAGATCCATAAGATTTGCTAAAGGAGAACACCCTGGACATTGATAGAAAAGTGGAATCTCTGGACAATTCTCACAAAATACAACTTATTCCCAGGTGATATTGTGCTACTTGTAGATACTAAAGAGAAACTGCAACAAGTGATAACTGAGTGCCAGAAGCTGCTTTTGTGTAAGAACATGAAGGCCAATGCTTAAAAAGTACTTATTCTATCCAGGGATGGAACAAGAAATGAGCAATTCTACTTAAATGGAGCACAATTGGAAACAACTAATGATTATACCTTCTTAGGAACAGTAATTAGCAATACGGCAAGGACAGACCAAGAAAGACAAATAGAATAAAAAAGACAAATGAGGTCTATTATCAAATTTGCAACACCATTTTAGGACTTTCTCCCTACTCTGATGTACAGAATTGAAAGTTGGGTCATAAATAACAAAAATATCAGCCAAATTACCTCAGTTTAGATGGAATACCTGCACAGAGTAGCAGGTAAAATGAGAAGAGATTGTGTAAGGAACGACAGGATAAGGGAAGACATAAAGATCCTTACATTAAAAGACACCTTACAGAAATGCTAGTTGCGGTGGTTCAGTCATGTATGTACTGCGAATCAGGACCGAGAGGCATTGAAGGTTTTTGAGACTTGACCTTCAGGCACGAGGCCAAAAGCAAGACCTAGAATTAGTTATAATGAATAAGTCTACAAGGTGGGAGAATAAAGGGGAAAAATCTTGCCCAAATAAAGCAGAATTTGAATTTGGCCTAGGTTGGTTGAAATTTATTTCGAGGCAGACTCACAGAATGAATTTCGATCTTTCCATTCTGGTCGGAATAGCTTTGGTTGGATCTTTAGAACAACACTCCCTTTCTTCTTTCCTCCTCCCCTCCCTTTCCATATGCCAGAAATAGAAATGGCTGGATAGGAATTGAAAAAAAAAGAAGGGAAAAAGTATAATAATTTCCTTCATTCGTTTCTTCTGTAAATATTGCCTTAGAATATATTCTCATTCTTATTTAAATTATGGTCTTACTTTATAGAATTAATAGAAAATAACTTTATTCTGGAATAAAGCCCTTTAAGAACAACAAAGATGTACAGAAAAATGAAGATTATTTCTTGCCCAAGGACCTGTTCTAGTTAGTAAAACATAATTTAAAAAAAGTTAAATGTACGCATTGTTATTAAAAATATATGAATGTTAAAACAGTGCATTTGCTAATAAAAGAATAAGAGAACAGAAAAAAAAGTTAAATTTAACTAATAGCCATAGTGTTAGATATCATAAAAAATATAGCATGCATATGTTATTTATAAAATATTTAAATATATACACACAGTTGCACAATAAAAACAATAAAAAAGTAATGATTATTTGAAAAATTAATTTGAAATAAGCATTATGAAAAGTGTATTATAGATTAGTTAAAATGAAATTTTACTTGACAAAATAAAATAAAATAAATAATGCATAAATAATAAAAAAAAAAAATTCTTATAATATAGTTGCGAAAAAAATGTTAGTACTGTGTGAAAAGTAATGTGAAATATTTCTTCATATTCATAAAGAAATGTAGCCAATAAAAACAAAGATTGTTTCATAATGTATGATTAGTCGTACACAATGCTGATTCACCATACACCAAGCAGCTGTTGTCACGTTGGGGGAAATGAGAAAGATTAGTAAGAGTCTGTGTATTTTCCAACATATTCATGAAATTGAACATTTAATTTGTGTGAATTACCAACTGTCTAATCGTTTTCACTAATCAAATAAATATGAACTGTATAGAATATTATCTTACATAGAAACCGAGGTCCAAGTTTGATTATGGGTAGGCAATTTTTTTCTGTTATATCAGCAGTAGATTAAGTCTGGATTCACTTATTTCCTGCATATATGTATATGTAGTATATAAAATCTGATCTTTCATTGCGTTGAGGAAAAACCTGATGATTCAGGATTGATACTGATTACATTATCTCTTTGTATAAACATTGATCAAGAAGCCGTGGATCATTACCAAGTACTGAAACCAAGAACCTTCATGAGCTATTTTGGTGCAGGATTATTTTTTTATTGTTAAGCAAAAATAAATTTATTTTGTGTTTTTAAATTATTTGTTTATCAATTTTAATTTAAAAAATGTATAATCCTAACACTACCTGGGTTTTAAGGTTGGCCAGTGATGAGTATGGCTATGATCGGGAGACTTACAGTATCAGCAGTGTTTTCAGTTATTATCCTTCAGACCTCAGAGCTATTTCCTACTGAACATCGAAATACTGCAGTTGGCAGCAGCCTCACTGTTGCACAATTTGGTACAATGGCCGCGCCATATATAGTTGATATATTGGTAAGTGTTAGTTATTAATAAAAAAATTTAATGATTTAGTGACTATATAATGTTTTAAATTTATTTAAATTGATACATACACATTCATAGGATGGTTCGCATTTTGAACTTAGTCTTTTCTTTTTTTTTAATGAACATTTTATACATTTTAAAAGCAATAGAAAAAAAATATATATTCTCCTCATATCAACGTAAGGTGCAGTTCAAAATCTAATAAGTATAGAGTAGGTTTCCTGATTTAGAAATGAAACACACAGCTTGAAAGGAAGAAGTTGAAAGGCATGCCATGGATTGGGAATAAACATTAAATCCAATTAACAAAGAACCCAATTTAAACTTTAAAAAGACAATTCTTTCTTTTCTTTTTTATTATTATTGAAATTTACAACTATATTAAATGATAAATACAACAAGTAAATATGAAACTAGTAACATGACATATACAACATGAGGAGAAACTATATTAGAAGGTCCCAAGGCCACCTTCTTTTCAGTCGCCTTCGGAGGGTTATCAGGAATAGAAGAGGAAGTAAGGTTGGAAACAAAAGGATTCGGATGGTTCAGAAGTTTATTATTGAAGGATCGGTATCTGGATTGAGATAAATCGGAAACATATTGTACATTAAGGTCGTTATGGATGATTTTATTTGTAACAAAGCAGGAAACATTTTATGAAGGATTTTGAATTGTCGTTTTCATTTTGTAAAAATATCTTTGTTTTTTTTTCTTCCACAAACTTTGTGCCAACATAGAATCTATAAAAACTAAATACTTTTCTTACTTACTTACTTTTATTACTTTCTTACTTATGTTGTTCAAAACCGGTAAAGAACTGGAGCTAGAAATTAATACAAATATAACAAAATATATGGTTAGCTGCTGAAATGGGGACAATTTTGGTGATATAGATATTGAAGGAAACACATTTAAACATGTAGAGCAATGTTAGTATTAAGATCGACGAAAATTAGAAAAAATATATTAAAAAGAAAATTAAGACTTGGCTGAATGCTGGAAATGGTAGCTATTTTTCGGTAGCAAAATTACTTAGCTTCCATCTTCTAGGCCAAAATTTAAAAATTGTCAAAATGATGATACTTTACAAAGCGAAACGTGGTCACTTATTTTAAAGGATGAACAATGCCTTAAGGTTTGTGAAAATTTAGTATTGATTAAAATAAGAATCAAAGGAAGACGAGTTAACCATGGAATTTAAACTGTTAAACGATGCTGAACTACATGATTTGTACCTGACTAATATAATTAAGGTGATAGATATGCGGCAATCTAATTTACTAATTAAAGGTTAATGTGTGGAGCCCATTGGTAAGCTTTCTAGAGGTATAGCGAAGCAAAGGTGGGATGTTTGCATTAAGGCTGATCTTGCGGGATTAGGTTTGGATGGTGGCCAGTGATGGAAGTATGTAGACAGAGATTGGTAGCAATGCATCTATCTTTCGGTATAACTAAGCCTCTGTTATTTTTATTGGTCCTTTTTTTCTATTTAAACATGAGGTAATAGGCTATTAGCAGATTTAAGATAAAGCTGAAGGAGAGGATGTCCGGTAAAATGTTGCTCTGGAACAATTGAATTCTTTTTATATTTGATGATTTTGCTGTTCCCCATAACTCGATACCACATGTCCAAAGTGGTTTAATGAGAACTTTCAACTCAGTACTACAATAATAATTCTTTGAAGATAAAAGAAAAAATAATAATTTATGTCAAGAGAAAGATGAAGCTCTTGTTAGCTTTGATGCAACGTCAATTTTCAATTGTGTTCTTTTGCAGTTGTCTCACAATATTATACATGATGCATAAAAACAATCTATTGAGGTGCTGCAATAGATAGGCAAGCATATTCCCTTTGGATGGATAGGACTTCCCAATTTCTGTAATCAGTTTATTTTTAATTAAAATATTTTTTCAGAATTATGTCATTGACATTATTGGAAACTCCTTTTATCATTACTTTTCCTCAATTTATAATTGTTTGTGTTTAATGTTGAAATGAAATGAAAAAATAATTTTATTCTGGGACTGCAGTCTCCTAAGAATAATAAAAGAGTGACAAATTTATCAGTCTTAGTCTGGCTTAGAATAATAAAATATACAAACTAATTAACTGCTGACTGTAGTGCAATTGTGCTGTAGACTGAAATTAAACAGTATACAGATGTAAGTAATTTTACATGTTTGCAGAAGTTTGAATGTGGAGGAGTGGCGGAACAGGAATTGTTTCAAGGAATTAGTTGACGAGGATTGACTTATGGAGGTAGGAAGAGGGTTCCAAAAGGAGGTAGCACGAATGACAAATGGTTTGCTGAAGGAATTAGTTTTATGGGAGGGGATGTATAAATCTTTTTTTTTTTTTTTTTTTTTTTTTTTTTTTTTTTTTTCCGATCCCTCTGAAACAAAACAAATCATGATATCAGTGTCATATCGGACCAGTGCACTAGCGGAACGATACTCTGAATTACCTTGACCTTTTTCTACCTGTGGTATTTGAAGGTGCGTTGAATGATTTTTGTTGGTTATCTCTTCCTGTCCACTTAAGGTCTTGATAAGATGTTTGGAGTTGAGGGTCCTCCGCTCGTTAAGTGAAAATATATAAAATAAAATAAAAATTAAGCATAACGATAAAATAAGGAGGGGGGAAGGAATAGGGATATGGATAGGGATGGGGAGGGGCGTATAAATCTATGTTGAGACTTGATATTAAGTAAGAGAGTGCATAGAGGAACGTAGAGTTAGGAGTTCCAGGATGTAGAGAGGATTTTTGGTTCTGAGGACTTGAGAAAGAAAAATACCAAGGAGGAATTGTCCTCAGGAAGTAGGATAAAGCCACTTCAACTCTGTGTACCAGAATGAAACATGTGAATGTTATGCTAAGATTTATTTAACTATTTGTTTCTGACTAGTAAATTTCCTTGTTATATATTTTTCTGATGTACACCATCACAAACATTGACTGTTGTACAATTTGCCCTGATGATGCGTGAATGGCCAAAAATTTGGATTATTTATGAATAAATATTTATTTTTAATATTTAAAACTACTAAGGCCTATATTACTTATTTATAATGTTTAGTTTCCACTAATCAAAAGAATATTTATTTTTAGTTTCTGCAACACTAAAATATTTACAGTTTTTAATCATTTTATATTTTTATAGGGAAAGAAAATTTGGTGGATTCCTACAACGCTATGTGGTGTCCTTTCTCTCTTATGTGCATTTGTCTTATTTTTTATACCAGAGACTAGAGATACTCCAATGCTGGACACTCTTAGCGAGATGAATCAGGGAAAAGAGTCTCATACCAATGATACCGAATCGGCTAGCTGATGTCTTCTTATTTTATATATATGTATATGGTGTATATATCTATCTACATGCACACATACATAATATTTATAATTAAGTGTACCTAATTCTGTTAATATTATGATAAATATATTTTATTAGTTATTACCAATATTACTATATCTGTTCTTGTCCTTCCTGCATCAATTGCATTGCATAATAATTCTGATTAGTCAACCTATGGTAAACTTAGACAAATTAAATATCCAATTCCGTAAAGATCATATTTTTGTTTAGAAGCTAATTATAACATTTATATGTTTTTATCAAACTAAAATGTATCTAAAATCAATAATATAAGGACACAACTTAATACCAATAGTATTAGTACTTCAACTCTCATTATAATTTTCTCAAAAAGAAATATTTGGGGCCCTTTTATTAAAACTAATCATAAAGTTAGTTTTTTCGTGTGTGCTTTAATAGATTTATGATTTGTTTTAATAATAGTATATTGAAAATTTGTGAATGTTAACCTCACGTAAGGAAGAAAATAAACCATTGTTAACAATGAATTATTTTATTTATTATGACAATATAATGAACACAGAATTTTTATTCTGAAAAACAAAAACCAACAAACATTGACTTATATCCCTAATAAAAAAAAAAACTATCAACCTCTTAAATTAATTAGGTACTAATCTATTAAAAAATTATTTTGCGATTGAATGTCATTATAATTTCATTAGAAATTTTTCGCATTAGAAGGGGAAACTAATTTGGCCTTCAGTAGACTTGCTAAAATATGTAATTGATAATTCAATCCGCTGAGATTTATTACGACGAACTTTTGTGCAATGGTTTTGCATACAATTGCACACCAACATTAATATACAATAGTTGCAAATTCAACATTTACAGTTTTGATTCGAGGGTTTGCTTTAAAAGAAGTTATTTTTGAAGTGATAAACTGCAATAATTATAAGGTAAATGTCACAACATCAAATTTTTTTTTAAAATTCTTGTGACTAATGATCCGTATTTAATTAATAGACCACAATCTAAAATCAAACATGAAAACTTGGCCTTACTTCCAAATGAATTTTTTTATGTATTTACAAAATGTTCAGAGCTTTTCAAACACCCGGGTCATTTTTGCCCTGTATTACAAATTTTCAATCAAGTTATAAAACTACAGGTTATAAAATTATAAGCTAAAAACAAATTATAAAACTACAGATAACAAATACAGATTATCAATAGTTTACAGTGATTATAGAAAGTTAATAAATAGTTACAGCTTAATAAATATACAAGCAGAATTAATAAAACATATAAGTAAAGATTTAATTAATATTAAATGTTAAAAATAAAATTAATGAAAACTGGTAAAATTAAAAGTTAAAGATTACAAGAATAATACCATAGAATGTTTCCATCTACGGTTTAAAAATCTTTTAAAATTATAAGAAGAAAAGTTAATAAATACAATTAAAAATTAAATGTTTAGAGTGCTTCCAATGGTTAGTTTCTCAACAAGCGCGTTTCATGTTATTTTATTCCTCTGTACACATTTACTTGATGTAGTCATACTATTACAGTTATAAACATCATAATAAAAGTTAAAAAAAAAAATAAATGTTAGGAATAACAAGGGAAAGATAATATATATATATATATATATATATATATATATATATATATATATATATATATATATATATATATATATATATATATATACTTGAAAGTTTAGAATTAAAAGAAAGAAAGTGAAAAAACAATTAAAGTTGAAAGTTAAATATTGAAAGAAAAAAAAGTTAACAAAAACGGGTAAAACTAATGATTACGATAGTGTTAACAGGTGAGGATTCAAAGTTTAAATTATTTTATTTTTTTATTTTTTTTTTAGTATTTTAATGGAATTTACAACTGTATTACATAGAGAATACAATAAGTAAATGAGAAATTTGTAACATGGCATGTACAACATGAAGAGAAACTACCCATTGGTAGAACTCAAAAGTTTAAATTAGAAGATGAAATGTTAAAAAGTTCTGTTTAAAATTAAATATTAAAGGCTACAAGGAGAACATTTAAGAAAAACTCTGAAAATTAAAACTTCTGAATCTCAAAGAATGAAACGCCAAAATTGCTCAAAAAAAAAAAAAAAGGAGTATCTTAAAAATAAAATAATAGAAATAGAAACTAATAAAATCGAAAATAACATGAGAAACATCTACTAAGGTATAAACAGATCATGTAAATGTTTAGGGCCGTCACCTCTGGAATTAGGGATGAAAATAACAATATTCTGACCAATCCAGTAGACATATTAATAAGTTTAAAAACAATTTTGACAATATCTTAAATACTGGAAATTATAATATGTGTCCTCCTGCTGATTATTAGAGTGCTGAACCCTTAATAGAAGAATGGAGTAAAGAGGAAGTTGAAGTAGCTATCGAAAAATTAAAATCTTATACAGCAGTGGGCACCAATAATATTCCTAGTTAAGCCATGGGGAGAAGCTGGAGTTTCTAAAATATATTTGTAGGTTAAAAAGATCTGGGAGAATGAAAAATTACCTGAAGAATGGAAAGAATTTATTCTTATTCAGATTAACAAAAAGGGTCTGAGGATGGATTGTAATATCTATCGACGAATTTCACTCCTTCCGGTATGATATAAAATATTCACTTTAGCCTTAACTAGTCGAATCACGGAATAAGCCGAGAAAATTATCGGTGACTACAAATGCGGATTTAGAAGGAACTATTCGAATCTTGATCAAATATTTTCTTTACAGCAAATATTTGAGAAAAAATTAGAGTACAACGTTGTTGCTCACAATCCGTATATCGATTTCAAAAAGACTTATGATTCTATTGATCGCCAGAAATTGTACAATATTCTAATCGTGCAGGGGATTCCAAAAAAATTAGTAAACCTAGATTGGATGTGCTCAACAGAAACATTCAATAAAGTTAGAATCGGTAATAATTTATCCGAAAAGTTTTAGATTCGTTCGGGCTTAAAATAGGGTGATTCCCTTTCGTCTGTCCTGTTCAATTTGGAGTTAGAGCGTCATTAGGGAGGTAATGCGTACCGAAAAAGGGTTGAATCTGGGTGGTATAACACCCGTGCTTGGCTATGCGGATGATCAGGTCCTGTTAAGCGAAGACACGGAAACTATAAAACTAAATAAGAGAACGTCAATGAAAGCCGGTAAAGAATGAGGGCTCGAAATAAACACGGATAAGACAAAATATAAATGATTAGCTGCAAAAATGGCGATATTGCTAGTGATATCTATATAGACGGTAATATGTTTGAACAGGTAGAGAAGTTGAGGTATCTAGGGTATACGATAACTAGAAAAAACGAAATTGAAGAGGAGATAAAGTTTAGGCTGAAGACGGGAAATGCTTGTTATTTTTCTGTGAAAAAACTAGTTGCGTGCCTCTTGTCCCGGAACTTAAAAATTAGAATCTATGAAACCATTATCATACCTACAGTTCTTTATGGATGCGAACCATCGAGTTCGCTAAGCCTTTCATTATTTATCATTAATATTGTTATGAAAATTAAAAATTTAAGATTCTTTTTTTTTTATTTTTTTATTTCTTAATGACATTTATAAATGTATTACGTAAATACATCAAGTAAATTTGGACATAATAGATATAATGACATGAATACACTTGCTGAGTAACTACCCAATGGTAGCACTTCAAAAAGTTTAAGATTCAAGGAAGAAGAGTTGACAAAAACAATCAAAATCAAAGTTTGAAAAAAAAAAAACTGAAATGATTGAAGTTAAAAATTAAAGTTACAGGGAGAGTTCACAGGTAATGGATTCAACTATAAAAGGTTGAAATTACAAGAAGAAATCTTAAAAGTTACAGTTTTAATCATTAGTTAAAAATTACAAAAGGAAAAGTTGACCATTACAATTTTAGTTAAAGGTTAATACAACAAATATAGTTAAGTTAAAAAGATTGTTCAGTTACAATAAATTCGTAAAATCTAAAAACTGCATAGAGGTTCGTTATAAAAAATAAATTACTCAAAATGTTCCACTTTTGAATTTAGACAGGCATTATCTCCGTGGCCACTCATCAATATCAGCACTTCTTAAGGAAAGCGCTCAACTGCTCGGACCAGAGATTGTTTGAGGCTTTCCAAGTTAGAGTGTGCTCTGTGGCATGCCATCCACTCCAATTTGGACTAGAGCCGATAATTTAGTGGGTTGAGATCAGGACTTCCTGAGGGCCAATGAGAGACAGAGATAAACTCTGGAATGTTCTTTTGAAGCTACTGCTCATTTGACCTGGCCTTGTGAGCTGAAGCGGAATCCTGCTGAAAAACCCAATGACTTCCAGCAAACAGAGTCTTTAGAGGCTTGACAACAGGTTCCAAAATATCGTCCTGATAGTTTTTAGCTGCTGTTTTAACTCCTTTTTCGCAAAAATGGAGCTTTATGGAACCATCAAAGCAAACTCCCCTCCAAACCATCATTGAGGAAGGGTGATGACCTCTTTCCACTCTTCCAATGACTTCCTGGGCTGCTTTAGAGCTCTCTGCTTATACACGATCATTTTGGCGATTTAATTTTTCTTCAATCGTAAAGATTTTCTTAACGCTAAACTAAATCTTTCGATGAATATTGGTGTAACGACCAAGCAGCACTTTGCATCTATCCACTCTATTTTTTTTTAGAGAAGTGGTTAACCTTTGTCCTGTAATTCTTAGAAATGCACCCATCATAAGGTCACTTTTTTATTAAGCGATACATTGATCTGAAAATGATTTCCATTTCTCGATACTTGATTTATTGTTTCCGAATGGGATTTCTTCTGATTCGAGCAGCCACTGCTGTCACTGCATTTGCCGTTTTCACAGTGTGTGGACTCGTATGTCCCCAGAGGTCGGATGTGACCCGGACAGTAGTCGAGGTCTGCCACATACAGATAAGGTCTCATTATGTCTATTTATACACAATCATGCGGCTGTACTCAAAAGTTTCATTGTGTTGA